TGGCTCCCTGGCAGTGTTCAAGGCCAGGTTGGATGGGGCTTTGGGCAACCTGGGCTAGTGGAGGGGGTCCCTGCCCATGGCAGGGGGTGGGACTGGATGGGCTTTGAAGTCCTTTCCAACCCAAAATCATTCTATGATTCTAAAATAACAAAAAAAAAAAATTTAACATTGGGAAAAATTTACAGTAACATCAACATATAAGAAAGCATTTATTAAAAAAAAAAAAAAAAAAAAAAAAAAAAAGAGAGATCAATCTTGCCTTAACTTAAATAACAGCAACTTTACATACCTGCAGGGTGGTAAAAACATGGAATCCTTCATGAGCACAGATCCAGAAAGCAGTATATACCAGCATCTTGCAATAGTTTCTGAGCTGTAAGAAAAGAAAGCATTGATATCTACTTTCTTCTTCTTACAGCAACTCAAAAATATATTATCCAAAATGTTACTGTAGTAAAATAATGATTTACCACTCTACCCATCTGATATGCAGACAGGAAACTTAAGGAGGCTACCAAGAATTAAGATTTTAAAATGTCTACATACAGAATGTTTCTTACACCGTACAATTTGACATTTAAGTCAACTTGAAAATTTACTTTATTAAAATGAAATTATTAATTTTCAGTAAAAAACATTTAATTCCAATGAAAGTATACAGAAAACTACAAATACAGGAATGTTTTTATTCTGTGCTGAAGTTGATTAGCATTTCAGTAATACTACACGGACCTGTCAAGTGTTACAGATAAAACACAAGCCTTGTACATTGGACAACTCCTCTGCATTCCATCTCTGCATTTCCATTGCTTCCATGCCCGGTCTTATCTCCCATTGTGGGATCTGCTGACCACTTCAACCTACAGCCCGTAGGTCTGCACAGAAGTTACCATGTTTTCCTGCAGTAGATTCTGCCTCTTCCTAGAGCGCTGCATTGATACTTCCCAGCTACAACCTAACATCACCTTCCTCCTCCAGCACGCAACCCCACACATACACAGACCTGGTACTGGAACAGATCCCTGTCACACACACCCACCATGTGAACTAGTAGGTGGCATCTCATTTAGACTCAGGTGCACTGGAAGATGTGCCTTATACAGAAAAGCTAGGATTAGCTGTGAGAGGATAAATACACTATAAGCAATGCTAAAATATAAGGGGGGGAAGTGTATTTGCCTCCCAGCAGGAGCCTAAAAAGAGCTCTAAGCTAAAATACTAATTCCGGCAATTTAAAAGAATAGTGTTTGAGCTCCACTGCTCCGCTGATACAGGATACTCCTACAAAGCAACTGGGCTCCTGACAACGCAGTCAGTGCCAGCTCCAGGGGAAGAGTGCCACCTACTGAGTCGCCACCACGGCTCCCACAAACCAGAGAGGTGACACTACCGATTTTTAATTGATCTCGCCTGTGCACAGACACTCCTCTGCTGTCCGGGGGAGCCGTGCTGATAATTCACAGGTACTTTTCAAATGTCAACACCGTACTACTGGTACAAGTCCCTCCTATCGAAGCTTTTAACCAGTCTGGCCAGGCTTAAATGTTGTAAAGTCTTATATTTACAATTACTGAAAAAGCAAACGATACATTACAGCATGCAAAACAGTGGGTTTGTTTACACTTTTACTGAAGAATTCAAACAATCAAAGTGGTATGTACTTACCAAAAGAGAACTTGGTTGCCCTTGTACCTCTCATAGCGGGCACTTGATGACATTATTCTGAGGGAGGAAGAGAAGTTTAATTTCAACTTTAATCCCCAAAGATCATAAGCTATTAATCACCACATTTCAGTAGAATCACTTTAAGGCTCTAAGACCTGAAATTCAACTATTTCTTTTTGTTCTAAACAAAGGATGTGTGCTTAACCATAAAATTCAAATTATTACAGTGTTATTCATTATCCAAATAGATAATATACAGCATGTTCTCTAAGTGTTTAAATCACTCCCACACATAGGAATTACCCATAGCAACAGAACTGAAGGAACTAAAATACTTCCAACCCACTTTTTGTGCTTTGTTGGCCTTCCATTTTATGCATTGTGAGATCATCCAAATCTCTGAAGCATTAAAAAGCTTTTGTAATCTAGAGTTAGCAGAGGGCACTATCTACACAGTCCTTTGTAGACAAATGGGAGTAAGCTCTGCCTTCGTTCTTAGCAAAGCTAATTAGTTTAGATTCCATGCCACATTATTGCAATGACTTAGCTCAGCAATGGACTTGGCTAACGCTTTGCCACCTCGAAGTGTGGGCAGACAAAGGCTTTGCTCATCTCCACAAAAATACAGTCATAGATACCAGTTGTGCTAAGCAATACTAACTAGGTCCCATAGTACTTTACCTTAGCTGATGTTCCCTGAAATGTGAGAGTATGTCCAGTCCATGAAGGAAAGAATAGATAGTATTTAAGTCCTAAAAAGAAAAGGGGGGGGGGAGAAGACATGAGCAACTTCATTCACAGCATCTGATCACATCAGCACTAACTTCTTAGATTCTGCAGTAAGTTACACAGACTTATAATTATAGAGACAAATGCAGACTTGAAGAACCCTGTCCACACTTAAGCTGTGGAAGTGAAAAGAGTGAAGTCCAACTGATGCATAAACACTTACCTGAAAAAGATTTATTAAAAATATCTCTGGAAACACTATTTACGTGAATGGATACAGCAGCAAGCCACATGTGGAATAAGCCAAATAGGACAGTCCTATTCATCCAAGGTCAAAAATTGTTGAAACCTTATTAACACCTCCTTAGAGAGGGAATTTTGGAACATTAGTTTGCTAATAGCAAAGAACCCTAGTGCAAACCTAAACCACATGGTCTAGTCACAATATATGGTGCAGAGAGCCACAGTACCTTTTCATAGTAAAACGTTATGTTTAGAGAGAAAAATGTACTTCATGTCCACCTCAGATCTAGCTGGTAGCTCTACTACAAACTCCACTCCATCCTACTGCCTAACTCAGTCCAGTCCTTGGCTGGAGCGTAACATTAGAAGTTACTCCAAAATACTCTTTGGCAAAGATGAAGACAATTAAGTTTTAGATTTGTCTCCCATCTCCTGCTCTGAAGTCTCAGCATCACATCAGGGCCATCCATCAGCAACCACAGAAGCAAACAACTTTTTTGAAGCAACAGTATTAAAACATGAAGATTATTTCATTTTAAAAATTGGACTTTACATGGAAGCTGTAATTAGGAGATACAGCTGTTTAAACTTCTCACTACACAGGATCCTCTTCAGTCACAAAAATATCTGCGCTGATGGTGCAGACCACATGCTAGGGAAAAGCTCACTAGGGCTATTCATCATTTAATTTACTGTCCTGAACAGGTGGGCTGTTAGCATTAAATACACGCACAATAAAATCATTATATACCCCACAGCAGTCTCTCCAGCTTGGCCTTGGAAAATATGTTCTGAATTTTCAAGTGCTGCGTTTATACAGTGTTTACAAAAGATAAATCAATATGAATGCTAGCTTCAGAATTTACAATGGATTTACTTCAGAAAAGTTCTTTGGCTTAATAGTCAATGTTTAGAAATATAACGGATATAGACTGTTATACCAAATGAAAGGTCATACGTAATTGCAGGCCACGTAAAACCAATAAAACTCTGATTTTATTTTTTTTTAAATGTCATTACCAAAACCCATGAAAATTAAACAGAAGGCCTGAATGCTTAGCACATATATTCATAGGAGCACACATTTCACACAGTCCAATCTCATTTTCATCCTCCAGCTATGAATTACCACAAACTTGATTTTCTTAGTGAACCACCCAAGAGCACTAGCTATGAATCAGACTCCAAACACACCACTTGCTTGCAGTGCTCAAGCTTGAACACCAAAGCCTGGCAGCCACAGGGTCACTCGAGGTATCGGAGCAGCTCAGTTCCTGAGCGCTCCCCCTCTCTGAGCCGAGAACTGCCTCGACTTCACCACCGGAAAACATCAAGCACAGGAATGCAGCAACAATATTCTCTGACCTTACAGTGTCATAGTAGTTAATGGTATCTTGTTCCATAAAATCTTTAACTACCAACTGAAATAAACGCCTGTGCTCCACGTTCTCCCTCCTCCACCCGGAAGCCTGCCTCTCCCAGTCCAGAAGAGCACTCGGTTGGGCAGGCAAAGGAAGGACGCGCAGCGGATGCTCTCAACTCCTGTGGAAGCTGGGCCACCAGGCAGCCAGGGGGAGTTCGTATTTGGCGTTACCATTAAAGCTAAATTTTTCAGTCTTCATGACTCACTGTGACTATATATACTTTCCTACATTTTCTAATATTTTTGTACATAATTGAGACTAAGACATAACAGAACATCTTCAAAATACATTTTAGATAAGCAGTTGTACTGTCGTGAGTTACAGAAAATTGTAAGCAGAACAAAAGCTGAAGTTCACGTTCAATCACAAATTTTTTAAGTTGTACTTATGAAAAATGACCACATCCTTACTTGAGCATTATTCTCTACAACTCCACAGAGCACAGCCCCTTGGCAGGTCAACTCAGCATGGGCTGTCTCCTGCACTCCTCCTGCAGCCAGACTGACCAAACGGGACTACTGTACTGACCCACCATGCTTATTTAGGAGCTTGATGAATAAACAGTTGGTAAATTAAAGAGATAAACATTTGCTTAAAGGGACTCGTGCCTGGAAAGCATCCCTTGCTTCAGACTTCGGCAGTTGAGATGCGCAGCAGCAGAGACAACAGCAGAGCCAGAGCACAGAACAGAAAAAGGCAGGCAAAGCTTCTGATTCTCTCATCGCAGCAGAGGGCATTTAACTTAAGCTAGACAGTATTACTGCTTTAATGTTGATAAACGAAATAAGAAACATCGTATTGTTCACTACCCAGCCAGGTGATATTTCAACAAGCTATACATATTAGCTACTCATGCATCCATTTCTGCAGGTGTTTTTAAAATCAGGATCTGTAACACTCTCTGAACTACCTGACTCTTACGGCAATCCCCTCTCCTCCTCAAGCACAGCAGGTGACTTTGTCGGAGATGGCATCTCCCTGGAAGGTCTGCAGGCTGCCTCTTTCCTCCAGCGTGCTGAATGTACCAATCCAATACGTCTTGTGGAAATAATACTTTTTTTTGTTTAAATAGATTCTTTACAGCCAGCCAGGTAAAATTCTTCCTCTCCCTTGCACGCTACTTCAAGGTCTTATGAGGGAGGTTAAGTGCAGCTAATGTAGCTCAGATTTTCCTGATAACAGGAAAATTCACATCAATCATACTTTGTGAAGTTTGTTCCATTAGTCCCATCTTGTTTAAGAATAAATGCTTATAATAGCACTGAAATTGTGTTTGAAAGGCTACCTTTAGAGACTTGTCTTATATTTTTGCAAGCGAGGAACATAATTTACTCCCACTGCAGCTGGAGGTGGCGAGCAGCCAGTGACAGGCAGGGGGTGGCGGCCCCTCACCGGGCAACCC